TATGTCTTCTTACCTATTTCATATATGTTTTTAATAATATTTTTTTCATCAATTACTGGACCAACAAACAATCAAAAAATCATTAAATCATCAAATCATTAAATCAATTTAAGGCAATGGTTGTTGCTGCAGGAATGACGCTTGGTAAAGAGGGTCCTTTTGTGCATATTGCATGTTGTATTGGTAACATCCTTAGCCGTATGTTTAACAAATATAACAAAAATGAGGGTAAAAGGAGAGAAATATTGTCTGCTTCGGCAGCTGCAGGTGTGAGTGTGGCTTTTGCTGCACCAATAGGTGGTGTATTATTTTCATTGGAAGAAGTAAGCTATTATTTCCCAAGCAAAACTTTAGTCAGGAGCTTCTTTTGCGCTATTGTGGCTGCGGTTACCTTGAAGGTATTTATTTTAAAATCTTTATGTATACATATATATATAGATATATAAATGAAAGTTTTTTTCTTATTGATTTTTTTTAACAATTTTAGATAATCGATCCATTTCGTACTGGTAAAATCGTCATGTTCCAAGTTTCATATGATAACGATTGGCATGTCTATGAATCCATATCATTTATAATTCTTGGCGTCTTAGGGGTATGTTTAAAATGTTAAAATGTTCGCGAATTATTAATATTACAAGTTTTATAATAAAATGCTTATGTCGATCCATATATACATTTGTATACATTCTAGGGAGTGTTTGGTGCTATTCTTAGTAAACTTATTGCTCTGTACACTAAATATGTTCGTAACGGGACGTGGCTCAAAGATCACCCGATTATTGAAGTTGGAATAGTGGTTATTATTACTGCTACAGTCAACTTTTTAACTAAGTACACAAGGTTTGTTCATTGAAGTTAGTATGAAAGTTACTTTATTTACCTCAGAAAAATCATTAATAATTTGAAAATTATTAGGGTATCCAATACCGATCTAGTTCATGATCTATTCAGTGAATGTAATGATGGATCAGATTCTGAACGTGTTGGGCTTTGCACGTATGTTAAACATATATTAAAATTAATGTTAATTTTAATATATTCATTAACTTATTTATTTGTTTGTTTAGAACCGATCCAGACAAAATATTTGAAATTATTTCCTTACTAGGCATTGCCCTGATTGCTAAATTTTTAACTTGTGTTATTACATTTGGACTAAGGGTTCCGGCTGGTATTTTTATTCCTTCTTTACTGATTGGCGCATGCACAGGAAGAATGCTTGGACTTGCCGTTCAATGGTTAACTTTGTATGTTATATTTATTATATTATATTATATTATATTTCATTTAACATTATTATTAAATACTTCTATTTGTTAGAACATACCCCACATTTCCACTATTTACATCAGTATGTGACCCTTCTAAGATAAATGATTGTGTTAACCCAGGAGTGTATGCTATGGTAGGAGCTGCTGCATGTTTGGCAGGTGTAACAAGAATGACCGTATCCTTGACCGTTATCATGTTTGAACTTACTGGCGCATTGACTTATATTCTGGTAAATATAATTCACACTTATAAATTATGATTTCCATATTTAAAAATTATGATTTACAAATATCCAAATCTAATATAATAATAATTATATAATTAGCCAATAATGACTGCTATTATGATTGCAAAATGGGTTGCTGATGGAATTGTCAAACATGGACTTTATGATCTTTTGATTTCTCTCAATGATCATCCATTCTTGGATTCCAAAGCAGAATATATTACTACCGCATCTACTATGGATCTTTGTCAAAGAGATACCGAAGTTATTGATATTAATCAACGAAATACTATTTTTGATCTGAAGACTAAATTAAACAAACTAAGTATATAAATTAATCTTTACATCTTTTCATAAAGTCATTTGTTTCATTACTAATCTCCTGTTTTATTTAAAGTCAACAGAGGGCATTCAGATGACGGTTTTCCAATAGTTGATGGTACAATGTTGGTTGGTTACATTGCGGCAAATGAACTTGAACATGCATTAAAACATGTAGATGAATTACCTGAGTCAACAGAATGTCAGTTCGGAAAAACTGAGTTTGAAATATCGATACCAAATGGTCATGATGACCATGAACATAAAATTACAAATTTTACAGCTTATACAGATCTGGTATATATATGTGTTCTTTATTACAATTCGAATTGGATTTTTTTCATTCTTAATAGTTTTATTGATTTTATTTGCATTTTTTGTTTGATAGGCGCCATTGACTGTATCAAAAAATGCTTCGTTAGAAGTTGTACTTGAATTATTTAAAAAATTAGGGTTAAGATATGTTTGTGTTGTAAACTGTGGACATTATGTTGGTGTCATACATAAGAAACAATTATTAATTTATTTGAGAAATCTTGAAAAAAGGTCTCATAATCAATAATGTTGTTATTCTCTGGAAGAATACACATTATTATACCGGTGTAGGAATTGAATATTGTAGTTGGAGAAATTTGGTGAACTTGAAGGTGTAAAAAAAACTAATGATGCCCTGTAAATGCATTGTCTTCGGTTCATCAATTGAAAGACATATTGAATATCTTGACTGATGGTACATTGATGAAACAATATCGGTTTCAAACTTTTTTTTTCCTGTTGAAACTTTGATTTGATTTGGTAAAACTTGTTTACATAGATTTATGTAGCTTGTTTTAATATTCTACTTTCATTTATGAACCTTTTCCTTTTTGGAGGATTGGAAAGACATTTTTATCATATAATATTTTTAGTTAATCAAAATTGTAATCTATATATATAAACTAACTATTATAACTGTCGTTAAACGAGAGGTATAGTAGGTTATACACGTAATCCACAACGTTATAACAGTATTCGTGTATACAAAAGTACCATCAATTTCATGGCTTTTTAAAACCAATCTGATAATCCAAATAATCCACATTTTCGACCGGGCCACTCGAAAATCATGTGATATTGTCAATTCATCAGTCTCCGGGCTAGGGTTAGAAATATTTACTTTTTTCAAATTTTAGAATATTTAAATAAAATTTATTTTAATAATATTTAAAAATAAAAGATTATATTATACTGTAATAGTATATAATTTTGTTTTACCATTATTATAAAACGCACCTATGGTGGTTTTGCACCTATTATATGTTTTTATTATGTTTTTTAAAATTTTCTAAGTTTTTATAAGTTTTGTATATAAAATTTTTAACATCAATTTTTTCACGTTAAAGGTAATATTAAGGTTAGGATTAGGGTTTGAGAAGGGTTTTTGGGGGTGTAGAGCATTTTTACTTAGAACACCTCACATTGATTAATTAACCAGTTTTTGAGATAATACAACATAGGTGGTAAAACACCATAGGTGCGTTTTAGTAAAAGTGTTATTTTATAACAAAATTTTAAGTTGTTTATAAGATAAAATAAACCAATTTAAAAAATTTTAGTCAAAAAAAATTGTTTAGTTATTTTGGTAAATTCTTTAAATATTAATTTAAAACTATAGTTCTTAATACAAAATTATAATTTATATAAAAGATAATTTGTTTACAGTATTATAATTTTTGCAACTTAGACCATACAAACTTAAATTGGTTTTTATAATCCACTGTCAAATTTTACAAAACTTTTAAAAAAATTTTAAGTATATTTACTATCTGGGTGTTACTTATTTAAAAATGTTTTCTGGTTCCATTTTGCATTCAGTTGATAAGATATCTAAAGAAAAAAGATTAGAACCAGTAATAAAAAAAAAAATAAATAAATAAAATCTATTACTTATTCTAATGACCAACTCTAAAAGTAGGCTTTGATTTAAAGAATCAATAAAAAATTAATATATATATAAAAAAAACTAATCATTATATCTTTTGTTAAAATCAATAACTTATTTAATATTGAAATCAATAATCTACCTACTATTAAAATTACAAATTCATGAGACAAAACTTACTTCAGAAGGCTTGATTTCAACAGCTCTAGCAATTTAGAAAAAAATTGGTAGTCAAAGATAAAATAAAGGAAAAATAAAAAAAAAACAAAAAAAACAAACCACCTATTGTTAGAATCACAAATTCACTGCTGCTAGAATTACAAACCTACCTGCTATTAAATTACTGATCTATATAATACTAATATAGTAATATAGTAGACAAGTAGAAATAAGATTGATGATTATATAAAAGCATTTCAATTTAAAGCTCTTATAATATGAGGTAGTGTTCCTATGAACCTGAACTGAACTGAACTTTGGTCAAGTTCAGGTTCAGGTTCAGTTCAGTCATGTTCAAT